CTGTGTGCTCTGAGCCTACTTCCTCCAGACAGAACTGGGGGTGCGGATCAGGGGGGATCAGGGGGTTACGGGGCTAATGGGAGCAGAAGACCAGGCTCGTGCTCTGAGTGACAGAGGTGGCGGAGCGAAGGCCCATTCTCTGCCTGCCTCCCGGGACCTCTCTAACCTGCCACCTCGCTGGGCACTCCTTACATCTGTGTGAGGAGGTACAGTTTCATTATATTTTCCTTCCACTCAGGTAGGTAGGCCAGGCTGGTTGCCACTTCCTTCTGGATGGGGCGTTCCGGTCCGTCCTTCATGCCCTACCGAGGTCACCAGTTTCCCCCCACGAGCGGCTCTCCAGCACGGCCACAGCCCCAGAAGCACAAGGACTTAATGCAGAACCCAGCAGCTTGGAGCAGAAAAGTGAATGGACTATGCGTTAATCCAGGCCATCATGTCTGTCCGGAGGGGAAAGGGTGTTGCCCCAGTTGCTCTCTCTTCTCTGGAAAGAAGGATGGCGGCCGCATGGGAGCCTTGTGGACAGCAGGTATGAGCCGGGGGTGTGGGGGCAACTAAAACTAAAACCTCATGGGAAGGGGGGCGTTCTGGTCTGTCCTTCACGCCCTACCGAGGCCACCAGTTGCCCCCCACTAGCGACTTTCCAGCATGGCCACGACTCCAGAGCACAGAAACCAATTTCTGAACTATCTGACTTTCAGTAGAAATACTTCCAGGGTCAATAAGTAAAATAGCAGAAATCCAAAACCAACATTTAATTCTTGAACCCAGCTGTAGAAAGCAAATCACTTCACAATGCTTTTTCAGCATGTCTGATTTGGGGGGGGGGGTTAAACTCTAAATAATAGTGGTGAATCTTTTATTGAAACAATGAATCTAATCAAAGCAGATAGAGTGTTAACTAGAATTCATCTGCCTCACAGGGACTGGGAGGGGTGGGGGGTGGGGTTTTATTGGGGTTCTTCATGGTAAAAAATAAGTATTGGTAAAGGGAAATGTGTTTGATATTTGCATGACTGAGACCTAAACCTGAAAGCTTTGTAACCTTTCCCACAGTGATTCAATAAATAAATAAATAAATACAAATACAAATACAAATATTTTGAGAAAAAAATATTCATATCTAATTGTTTAAAATATTTTGCTTAGTTTTGTTACCAGATTAATAAACATTTTATAAAATGGAGAAAAAAAAGAAAAATAAACACATAGACCGATTCTGTGTCATGAGTTCTTCAAAACTTCCCAGACAAGACACAGCAGATTCTTGGTTAAAAAGGAATGGGGGCTTTAGATGAGTCACACGTCTTGCCTTGCTAAGGCAATCAATGGAAAGAACCTTATTTTTTAATTATTTTTCTTTTTGGGTCACACTCGGCGATGCACAGGGCTTACTCCAGGCTCATACACTCAGAAATTACTCCTGGCAGTGCTTGGGGGACCATATGGATGTTGGGAATCAAACCCAGGTTGGCCACGTGCAAGGCAAACACCCTACCTGCTGTGCTATTGATCTAGCCCCATAAAATGTTTTTAAAAATATATAATTTTTTTGCAGTTTGGGTCTGTTAGTCTGGGGACATAATAGACACATCATTTCTCGTATGTAGAACTGCAGCTGGTGACAGATGAACCCACGATAGGGGATCGCTTGTTGTCTAAGTGTCTGCTCAGTCCAACTTCCCCCACTGGAAATGTGGGCAAGTTCCTTGCAAGCCCCGTATTTATGTGTTTTCTCTGCAACTGGGCGGAGCAGTAGCACTTACCCTCTAGCATGGCTCTGAGCAGAACAAACTAAAAACTGTCCCTGGCAGATTATGGATGATTTGCTAGACCAACGTTGACATCCTTAAAAGCAAATGTACTCTGGAATATAGATTTTTCGGCTCTTGGCTTTGGGCTGGATTCTAAGAGCACGGGGACTGTTTATTACAGCATCCCCTTTGTCACAGTTCACTGACCCTTCCCCTGGAGCACATCGAGAATTCAATCAGCGGTTCCTCATGGACATGCCTGCTAGACTTGTCTTATCCAGGACAACTAAACCATGTGGTCGAGAGCAGACAACGCGATTCTGTTTAAAAGGGGCCATTTGTGAGCTTCTGTGTGTGCACCTTGCCCTTATCTGTGGCAGGATGCAGCTTGTGTGGCCTAGTCCCTGCAGGTCTAGGAGATACTGTTTTGTCTCTGTGATGTATTCATCGCTGTTGTGATTTGTGAGTGTCTTTGCTGCGGCTTGACTTTTTCTTGGCGAGGAGAATTATGTAGGATTTGAATCTCCCATTTTCCACGGACATTTTGTGATTTCACTATCATGGTCTTAGCGCCATAAAGACTGGGACAGTTAGTAGGACCCCCTCATGGATTTTCTTTTCTCTTCCTTCCTTCCTTCCTTCCTTCCTTCCTTCCTTCCTTCCTTCCTTCCTCTTTCTTTCTTTCTTTCTTTCTTTCTTTCTTTCTTTCTTTTTTCTTTCTTTCTTTCTCTCTTCTTTTCTCTTTCTTTCTTTCTTTCTTTCTTTCTTTCTTTCTTTCTGTCTTTCCTCTTCTTATCGTTCTCTTTTCTCCTTCCTTCCTTCCTTCCTTCCTTCCTTCCTTCCTTCCTTCCTTCCTTCTTCTTCTTTCTTTCTTTCTTTCTTTCTTTCTTTCTTTCTTTCTTTCTGTCTTTCCTCTTTTTATCGTTCTTTCTCTTTTCTTCTACCTTCCTTCCTTCCTTCCTTCTTTCTTCTTTCTTTCTTTCTTTCTTTCTTTGTTTATGCTTTAATTATCTCCTTCCACCTGTACCCCTCAACCAAAAGAACTGGCTCTCTTCAGATAATTGCACATAAAGGGAGAGTGAACAGGTAGCCATCATGGGGGAAGAATTGTCTCACCCCAGCTGACCCTCCCCCATAAGGGTCCTTCTTAGTGAATTGAGATGGAAAATGTTCACCAGTGGACTCCATCCGGGCTGGCTCTACACCTCATCCTCTTGATATGAGGAGCATGACCCATGGAGACAGCACCCTCAGCCGAAGCCCTGGGCTGCTCTCAAGGGGCCAACATCTTTGTCTTCGGTAGTCTGTTGGTGGTGCCCACCTTCAGCCACTCCTCTTGAGAAGGACCCGACATGCTGCTGTGTGTCCTTCCATTCATTATCTCCAGGAATGATCTACGGGGGGCCAGGGGCTCCATGATGTTCTCATGCTGGGCTTCCTATTTTCCTTAGCTTTATGGCTTCAGAAGTTAGCTTATCTCGGAGCTTCATTTCTCATCTATGGGTTGAATCCCAGTACCTGCTCCAGAAGTCTGTGGTAAAGATTCCAGGACACAGTTAAAGAAACTCCCTCACACAGTGTCTGGTTCATCTGGACATGTATGTATGTGTTAAGTAACGATGTTGCTTGATTAACAAGTGATTCCCGAATCCCCAACCTGACCACAGATGCTCATGAAAGGAAAGGAAACTTTCTGGAATGGAGAGAAGGGTGTTCCTAAATCAGTTTTTCTGAGGATCCATTCGATCTCCACAAAACCAGGGGAGTGGGAGTCAAAAACAACAGAAAAGTGGTTTTAGATTGAGTAGGAGGGACGGTTAGTGGGTATCTCCTCATGCTAGAGGCAAAGCCTGAATTTAAATCCCACCGAGTCAAAGAACTGGGATGGCCTGGAAGGAGACTGGGCGAGCTCAGAGCGTGGTGGGTTGAGGATAAAGTGACGGTCTTGGTTCACTGTTCTCAGTATCCTAGCGGATCCCCACACCTCTCAGCATTGGGCAGCTGATAGGGATCATATGCCAAGGCAGACAAAGAGATCTATCACCTCCCTTGTGCTAAGAAAAAACAGGATATGGATTCTGTCCAGGTAACTAGGTGACTCTTGTCTTTAGTCGACACAAAAGTACTACAGTCTGCATTTGAAGTTAGTAAGGATCTTGGGCCCTCTCAGACCCCTTCCCCTTTCAGGGAGAAAGTGAGAATCAACTGAATTCAGTAGTGTGGGAGCAGCCAATCTGAGCTGTCAACACCATTCTTTGGTTCCGGTTATGAGCAAGACTCTTTGGGATGGGCGAGAATCCCAATTACTGTTAACAAACATGTCGGCAAATAGCACTGATGTTTATTGGACATTATCACCCAAGTACCCGAAGTGATTCTCTGAGTGAGACATTTTGCAAACTGTCCCCATAAACCGGATAGGAAGGCCATGTGGGACCACGCCGAGGACAAAGAAAACCCATGTGTAGGAGATACCGGGACTGTCATCCCCATGTAATAAGAATATGGACCCAGTGAGAAGTGATTTTTCTACAGAACCAGAGCTGGTTCCGGGCTCGCGGTTACACCAGCCTGGCTCTTGTTCTCAGACATCTCCAAGAGGAAGAAATGAAGAGCTTGTTCAGAGAGGCAGAATTGGCTGGAGGGACAGCAGGTCCCTAAGGCATCCGTGTACTTCAGAGCATCATTGTTAGAAAACAGAAGGCGAGAGCCTGTAGACTTCAAGAGGCCACGGCAAAAAATTCACTGCGGGGAGCCGGACTGATAATCCAGTAGGGAGGTCGCTGCCTTTGCATCCGGCCTACCCGGGTTCGATCCCTGGCTTCCCATATGCTCCCCCAAGCACCCCCGGAGTGATTCCTGAGTGCAGAGCTAGGAGTAGTCCCTGAGCACTGCCAAGTATGCTCCCACCACCCATAAAAAAAGAAACAAAATCTCGGAGGTTGAGGAGGAGGAGGAAGAGCAGGAGGAGGAGGAGGAGGAGGAGGAGGAAGAGCAGGAGGAGGAGGAGGAGGAGGAGGAGGAGAAGGAGGAGGAGGAGGAGGAGGAAGTGTCTTGCTGAGAGCTGGAGCAAGAAGAAATAGCATCAAGGGTCATCTTCCTGCGAGGGCTGGTTTCATTTTGTCTCTGGCCCCTGGCTGCCATCCAGAAAACACGCTAGGGTGCAGGGTCCCGGCTCAAGAACAAAAGGCCACGGACATGGGGCTGCTGCTGGCCACTGCGCTCGCAGCACATCCTGCATGGCCTTTACTCCTCAGCACACACGTAGGTCCTCATGGGGTGGTCCTGCCACGGAGGCAGATGGGCCAGGCTCTTGGCCACATCCGGCTGCATGGGCCAGCCCCAGGTCTCAAAGAAAGGGACCAGGTTCTTCTGCACTTTCTCAGAGAACTTCTTCACCCACAGATTCATCCGGCCGGTGTTGGTGTTGGGGAGGCCTGAGAGGGTCTGGTACTCTGCGAAGAGCTGACTGAACGGCTCCCACCCAAAGGCCTCCTGGAGCTGGGGAGACAAACAGGAAAGTGAGGAAGGGGATGCAGAAGTTGTGGTAGTGGCTGCAGTGTGCATGCATACGTGTGTGTGTGTGTGTGTGTATGTGTCTAGATGGTTTTCACTTCCCTTCCTTCTTTTCCTCCTCCCTCCCTCCTCCCTCCCTCCTTCCTTCTCCTCCACCTTTCTTTCTTTCTTTCTTTCTTTCTTTCTTTCTTTCTTTCTCTCTCTCTCTCTTTCTTTCTTTCCTTCTTTCTTTCTCAGTTTCTGGGTCTCACCTAGCAATGCTCAGGGCTAAGTCCTAGCTCTCTACTCAAGAATTACCCTTGACAGAGCTCAGGGGACCATATAGGGTGTGGGTATCGAACCTGGGTCTACTGCATGCAAGGCAAGCGCCCTCCTGCTATACTATCACTCCAGCTCCCATCCTTTCTCTCCTTGGGGTGGGGGTGGCGCGCTTGGTCATATGTGGTGGGACTTGAGCACTACTCCCAATGTGGCACTGGGGCTCCCCATGAAGCGGCAGCAACCGATCCCAGGGTCCTCACACATACAAGGCAAGTGCCGACCCCCATTGGCAGGGCTGACTTCGAGTTTCCCCTCCTGCCTTATCACAGCCCTCTGTTCTCCCAGTGAGGTTTTCCCCTGTAACACTTCTCATTTCCTCTGTGCACCATCAGAAAACTGGGGAGCAAACGGAACGGGAGATCCTTTCCGCACCTTATAGCATTGGCATCCCGAGTCCAGGGAGATGGGATGAGGGGTTTATGCTGGCAGGGCCCGTGAAGGGGCTCCTGGTCTCTGGGGTGCTACCGGGTAGAGGATGCCCCCCGCAATCTGTGCGGTACCTGCAGGTAGGTCTCCAGAGCTGTCCACATGCTCCAGTTCTCCAGGGGCGCCCCCTTGCCCAGGTGCTCTCTGATCCTCTTGTCTCGTTCCACAGCACTCAGGTCAGGGTGGGCCTGAGCCCGGGGGATGCTCAGCACCGTCTCGTGCACGTAGACTGACCAGAGGTTGCATGTGGCTTCCGTGGTGTGCGGTGGGAACTCCCACCCGTCCTGTTGCTGGTTGTGACCCAGCTCGTGGATGAGCCCCCAGAGGCCCTGGCTACGGATGCTCTCGATACTCAGCAGGTCCTGCACCGACTCCACGTGGCACATGATGGGGTACCCGGAGTGCATCCAGCCTGGGGTGCGGTGGGGAAAGTGGAGGTCAACCTTAATCCCAATTCCGGCTCCCTCTCTGAGACCTTCCACAATCCCAGAATCTCCAAGGAGAGGAGAGAACCATGGTCCCCCACTTGGTGGGGCCCACACCCACATGCCAGGGAGTGGACCCCTGCCCACTGTGCTTCTTCTCCTGGTCTCCAGCACTGTCGCCTAAGCCCAGCGCTCCTCCCTGTATCACTGGACACAAGTTCTATGGGTTTCTCTTGTGTGCAGGTCTTCCCCGGATGTCCCAGGCTGGGACCTGACTCCCTCCAGGCTAGAAGAACCTCTTGCCTTCTCCCATGACTGCTGTCCTGATTTATATTCTCCCTGTGTTTCACAAGGAGAATGAACCTCCTCCTTTCTTTCTTTTTTCTTTCTTTCTTTTTTTTGATCACACCCAGTGATGCATAGGAATTACTCCTGGCTCTACACTCAGGAATTACTCCTCGTGATACTTAGGGGACCTCTTTGGCCGCCTTCGAGGCAAACATCCTACCTGCTATACTGTAGCTCCAGCTGTGAACCTCATCCTTTATTAAGCATAAGGAAACAGGTTTAGGGACAGAGACACAGTACAGTGCTTGCTTTATAGGTGGCCACCCTACGTTTTATACCTGGCATCCCGGGCTGGAGTGATAGCACAGGGGGTAGGGCGTTTGCCTTGCACGCAGCCAACATGGCCCACCTGAGTTCGATTCCTCCACCCCTCTTGGAGAGCCCGGCAAACTACCGAGAGTATCTCGTCCACATGGCAAGCTACCCATGATGTATTTGATATGCCAAACACAGTAACAACAAGTCTCACGATGGAGACATTACTGGGCCTGCTCGAGCAAATCGATGAACAATGGGAGGACCATAACCGTGATCCCGTGTGGTTCCCTAAGCCCCACCAGGAGTGATGCTTGACTGCAGAACCAGGAGTAAGCCCTCAGCACCAGCAGGTGTAGTTCAAAAGCCAGAAGGAAAAACAACCACCACCAAGCAAACAGGTCTGGAGGAATTTTCCAGAGTCCTTACACCTCTCTAGATGTTCTCTCCCCCAAAACACTCAACAGAAACCTCTTTACTCCCTTGCCACTGATGCCTGTGATGTGTGCTAGGAAAAAATAGTTCACTGAGAAATTTCAAGAAAATATTAAGGCACCATGATTAACAAATTCATATTGAGTTTCAGGCACACAATGATCCAGCATTAGGCCTGTCCCAGGGTTCCCGGGATCCCTCCGAGGCCCAACCTGTCTCTGTGACAGGCACATTTTGAAGTCTGGTTGCTGTCTTCTGGATTGAGTGCTTGCAGAAAGGTTGGTTTGGTGGCTCAGACTTAAACACATACAATTCCTCCACACCCCTAGCTGTGCCCAAGGCTTCTGCCCCCTCCTGTTACCCCCTGTTTATCTCTTTTTACAGCCCCCCTTCTTTCCCTATCATTCTCATTTCTACATTTTAGGGTCAAGGGTAATCATAGGTAATCTCTGCCACCCCCAACGCTGATATCTCGCATTCTCTCCTCAATATTCGTCCACATACCACAGATAGCCCAGCGGGTAGGGCGTTTGTCTTGCATGAAGCCAACCTGACCAACCCAGGTTCGATTTCTCCGCCACTCTCGGAGAGCCCGGCAAGGTAGCGAGAATATTTCGTCTGCATTGCAAAGCCTGGCAAGCTCCCTGTGACGTATTCGATATGCCAAACACAGTAACAAGTGGAATGGAAATGTTACTGGGCCTGCTCGAGCAAATCGATGAACAACGGGAGGACAGTGACAGTGACCACAGACAAGCAACATCACCCGGAAGGAAATATTTCTGTTTCAGCCTCTCCTGGAAGCAATGCCCCTTGCCTCTGAGAACTCCCAAGGCCAACATTCCTTTTGTTTGCTTTTCATAAAAATAATTTTGTAATTAATGAAAGAACTGCGACTAGGTGAATTTTCGGCATATATTTCAACACCAATCCCACCATCAGTGTCAACTTCCCTCCACCTGTGTTCCCTTACTTCATCCCCCTCCCCCACTCCCACCTGCCCCCTGCTCTCCACTCCCACCACCTTGACAAGCACTTTACAAAGTTCGGTAGCTGCAGCTTGCTCTCATGGTTTCAGTGTTGTAGAGTCTGTGCTCTGGTTGTGGAACTATCCACATCATCAGGTAACCAATGCCCTGACCTGTTTCCTCCCACCCCCTTCCCCCTTTTCATCTTCTTCCTCCCCCATTGATTTCCTCTGTCCTTCCCTAAGCTCTGGGGTCAAGAATGGTCTAGGCATCCCCCCTTTATGACATTTCGTTTCCTCATCCGGATCAGTGCGAGCCTCCTTGTGTTTGCTCAGGCCACTGATTCTGAGATGTCCCTGCCCATCCCTACCCATGAGCTCACCCGACTCTCCTCACCATGCACATGGGAACACATTGTCATCCCCATCAAGGCTGTGTCTCTCCCCTGTCTCCTCCCCCACCACATGGCTTTACTGCCAACTTGACTACCGCACACTGTGAACCTTGGGTCTGGAGCGACAGCACAGTGGGTAGAGAATTTGCCTTGCATGTGGCTGACCCGGGTTTGATCCCTAGCATCCCACATGATCCCTTGAGCACCGCCAGGAGTAATTCCTGAGTGAAGAGCCAGAAGGAACCCCTGTGCATTGCCAGGTGTGACCCAAAAAGCGCACCGTGGGCCTTAAGAGGCAACCCCTCCCACTCTGCCCCAGGCAGCCCCCTGTCCCAGTCACATACCTGCCGAGATCTGCACGTCGGCCACGATCCGCTCGGGGCAGTGGAAAGGGAAGGGCTGGGCAGCCAGCTTGGCGATGGCCAGCATTATCTCGTCCCAGAGGCGCAGCAGGGGCTCAGGGTCCTCCAGGGTCCGGAGGTCCGCGGTGGGCACCGTCAGGATGATGTTGTCCGTGGCCAGCTCCCCCCAGGGGGCCGGGCTGTGCTGGACACTGTGCCGCCACTCCGCCAGGGACGTTTTACCTGGGAACAGTGACCAGAGCGGGGCCGGGGGCCAATAGCACCGGGAGGGAGCCTTGACTGAGCGAGCACCCGCCCTAAGTTATGCCCTGAATTGCACGCCCCCGGCACCCCGGCACCGAGAGCACTGCAGCCCCAGCAATAAACCCACACTACTGCCAGGCAGTCTGTGCATGATGGACAGCGACCTGTGCGCCCTGGGGGAGTCAAGAAACAAGATGGAAAATGTCTCTCTATATCCACAGCTCCCTGGTGGCAGAAAATGCTGGGGGCTGCGAGGGGCGGGCAAACACAGAATGAACAACTATCAACAAGGGTCTCAGGTCTTCCCTCTTTGGTCCCCAAGTCTCCACTGGACACAGGATGCAGGATGCAGGGAGAAGACACTGGACATGAGGCACAGGGGATGGGGCATGGGGTCTCCCATCTCCTGCGGGCCCAACCCCACAGTTCTCCCCATCCTCTCCAGCCGTAGCTCACACAGCCCCTCGGTCCCCACACTCACCCAGCCTGTAGTAGGGAGCAGGCACGGAGCCGGTGATGGTGAGGGACACGGGCCCCAGTTGGCTGCCCTTGGGCACGATGACATAGATCAGACCCCCCCAGAGACAGAACACGGACTCTGTGGCTTGGTCCACGCAGCACTGGTGAGTGACCACCGGGGCCCGGGCTAGCTGGTGGGCATCGCTCAGGTCGTCCGTGTGGCAGCCGATGAGAACCTGGAGGGAAAGTTCCCAGGGTCCCCCTGTGTGTGGGAGAACAGAGCCCTGCAGGTCTGAGGGGCTGAGGGTGGGAATGTGTGGATGGAGGCTGAGACAAAGTCCAGGCTCCCCCCGTGGGAGCAAGGCCAGGCACCCTCAGAGACCTGAGCGGGGGGCCACGCTGTGATGAGCCACAGGGGTGCCACGGGGTGCCCGGAGGAGGGAGTGGGTCCAAGCCAAGGTGAGAGGATGCCTCCCCGTGTGTTTGGGGAGTCCCTGGGCTGTCTGGCTGGGGTCCTGCAATTCTCAGGGAAGACGCTAGGGGGCAGGAAAGAGACCCCAGTGAGTAGGAAGTGAACCCCCAGGACAAGGGAGGAGGAAACGGACTTCTGGCCCAATTTGGGGGATGACAGGAGGAGGTATGGCTACAGGGACCTGGGGGCAGGTGTGGGTGTCCCTGGGTGCCCCTGGGTGCCCCAGCTCCCAGCCAGGAACATCACCGCTCCCTACCCCAAAGGCTTGGGCCTGGCTAGTTCATAGGAGCCCCGAGACTCAGCTGCTTCCTCCAAGGCAGTAACCCCTTTCATTCAGACGCCGGGATAGAGGTCCCTATTCCCAGGCATACCTGGTTCCCACTGCCAGGCTCTCCAGCACTCAGCCCACAATCCCTTCCAGCCACCAGCCGGACTCCCTGACAGTTAGTTTGAAGTTGAACTGTTTGGGCCACAGTGCACAGACATGTCACCTCTACACTACAGAGGAGCCGAGACCCCTGTTCTCTGCCCATGACTTCCTCTTCTCCTTCCTATCCCTCCTTTCCTTAGCATGTTTTTTTTTCCTTTTCTGCAAGGGGGGGGGGGGGTCACACCCACTGATGCTCAGGAGCTCCTCCTGGCCACACTCAAGAATTACTCCTGCCAATGCTTGGGGGACCATATGGGATGCCGGGGATCAAATCGGGTCGGCCGCATGCATGGTAAACAGTCTACCGGCTGTACTATTGCTCCAGTCCCTCCTTGGCATCTTTGTTTCTGCGTTCTTCTGCCTTGGCCCCCTCCCACACCCCACACATGCCACTGGACCTCGCACAGGGCACTGAGAATGGCCAGTGTTAGGCCTCATCACCCACTTCACAGAAAACCCTCCAGCACCCATCCAGGGGGCCGCGGACCCATCCTATGCTGCTGGGGGCCAGCGAGTGGCTCTGAGCCTGGAGGGGGCTGAGCACGGGGCTGGGGCCTCACCTTCAGCCCAGCAGAACTAGCGGAGTCCGGCAGCGAGAACTCCACGTTCTTCCCGTTCAGCAGGTAGCGGCCGGTGCTCATCCAGCGTTCCCCTGGGCCTGGAAATCAGCACAGGGAGGCTCAGTCCCTCATTCCCCCTCCCCCCAAACACACCTGCTCCCAATCCCCTTCCCTGTACACTCACTTCTGGCCATCCAAGCTGACCCTCCACCCCAACTTCCTTCTTTGTTTGGTTTTGGGGCCACACCTTGGGATTCAGGTACTTTCTTTCTTCCTTCCTTCCTTCCTTCCTTCCTTCCTTCCTTCCTTCCTTCCTTCCTTCCTTCCTTCCTTTCCCTGATTTTTGGGCCACACCCAGCGATGCACAGGGGTTACTCCTGGCTCAGGAATTACTCCTGGCGGTGTTTAGGGGACCATATGGGATGCTGGGAATCGAACCTGGGTGGGCCGCATGCAAGGCAAACATTCTACCCGCTGTGCTATCATTCCAGCTCTGGGTCTCAAGCTTACTCCTGGTTCTGCACTCCGGGGACTCCTCCTGATGGCCTTGGGGTAGCCCCTAGGTCAGAAGCTGGACACTGCACCCAGGTGGGCCGTGTGCAAGGCGAGAGGGAGCCCTCCCTGCCTCACCCTCTCTCTGGCCCCTACCCCTACTGCCTGGGGCGTGGGGACACCCCACCCAGGGGGACCCCGTCAGCCCCTCTGCGCGCTGCACACCTGGGTTGCAGGCGTCCACCTGCACGGTGATGGTCCGCTCTGCGGGGTCCGCGCAAGCGCAGCCGCCCAGCCCCGCGGCCAGCTGGGTGCAGTCAGTCCCCGATCGCGCCAGCTCGGTGGCCAGGCTGAGCATGGCAGCCTCCAGGGAGCCAGCGGCCACCGGGTTCTTCTTGCTGACGGCCGGGAGGCCTGCCAGAGGCAAAGTCTTGAGCAGGAGGCGGTGCACGGAGGCGTAGGCGGGGATGCCCCGCGCTGGGATGCTCAGGAAGGCGGCCCCGTCGCTGCCCAGCTTGGCCAGCCTCCTCTGGTCCACGCAGCCGCGGCCCTGTTTCAGCTGCTGCAGAAAGGCCGCCAGGGCCTGGCGGAAGTGGTACCCGAGCATCTCAGGCGTGGCCGCAGGGAAACAGTCTGGTTGCAGGGTCCGGGCTGTGATGCTGAGGCCCAAGCCATTGAGGAGGCGGTTTCCCGGGAAACGAGCCAGGGCGGGGCGACCGGGGTTCTGTGAGGCCCACCACCAGGCCTGGCCCCCCATCAGCAGGCCACCGCCCTCGGCCACGAACTCGCGCAAGGGCCCGGCCTCCGCGTCGCTGTAGGCCTCACAGCAGTAGACCTGCAGCTGGTCGGTCAGCTGGGACTCCAGGCTGCACTGCAGGCCACTGCCGTCCAGCAGGGCACACAGGCCCTTCAGGTTGGGGTTCACCCCCACTCGGCCCGCGGGGCCCCCGGCCAGCCAGTGCACGGCATTGAGCAGGAAGGTCCCCAACTTGGGGGCGGAGAGGAGGCTCTCGTGGGCAGCCAGGACCACCCGGCCCTTGCCGTAGCGGGCGCCTGCCAGGAAGCAGCCCAGCGAGGGGTCCATGCCCAGGGGGAAGGCCAGCGCCCCGTGCACCAGCAGCCTGGACGGCAACTCCCCGGTCTTGATGTCCAGTTCCGAGATCCCTTTCAGGAGCTGCTGCTGGTCCTGCCTCGTGTCCTCCCCACACCTGCAAGGGACACAAGGGACAAAAGGGGTCACAGTCGGTTAGCAAAGAGCCAGGGGTCTCCAGCCTGAGGGCTGAAATTGCGCAGGGCCTGCCTGGTCCATGGTCTTCCCGACCCCAGGGTGAGGTGAAAAGGTGTTGATGCCACTGCCCACACCGGAGTTCAATTCCTCCACCCCTCTCAGAGAGCCCGACAAGCTACTGAGAGTATCTCACTTGCCTGGAAAAGCTTGGCAAGCTACCCGTGAGGAATTCGATGTGCCAAACACAGTAACAAGTCTCACAATGTTACTGGGCCAATCAATGAAGAACAGGAGGACAGTGCAGTGCTACAGTGCCACTGCCCACAGCACCTTCCGGTAATTACGGGGCTCTGTGTGTACCCCAGGAGGCCTTGGATGGATTTGGAAAAAAGAAAACCACCACCACCACCTAAGAGTGAGCTGGCTGGTTTGTCACACCTCAAAACCTACATTCTCCAAAGGCTCAGTCTGGGAATTCCTCTCAGACAGGAATGCCCAAGTGTCTGATTCAATCCATGTCATCTCTCCATCCATCAATCGTGATGGGTCCTGCCCTGAGCGGTGCCAGGGTCAACCATGGAGCCTCATACATGCCAAGGATGTGCTAACCTCCTTTGGCTACAGCTCTGGCCCCAACCCCTGTGTCTTTTTATTTTTTATTTATTTCATTTTTTAAAAATGTTTTTGGTTTTTGGGTCACACCTGGCAATGCACAGAGGTTACTCCTGGCTCTGCACTCAGGAATTACTCCTGGCAGTGCTCAGGGGATGATATGGGATGCTAGAAATTGAACCCGGATTGGTCGCGTGCAAGGCAAATGCCCTACCCTAGGTGCTATCGCTCCAACACCCTCTATGTCTTTTTAAATAATACAACATACCACTGGTTTAAATGACATAGCCTTCAACTCTGGAAGTCTTCATTGTACTCATACTAGATTTAAGACGAAATTTATTGATGAGTTCAAGAGAGTGAAGGTTACATGGGTCCCACACCAGCCGGGAGCCAGTAACCAACCACATTCTATAGGTGCCTTCCTTCCTTCCTCCTCTCATTCTTAGGTTGTCTCAGCTGACCTCTGACCCTAACAACGAGTTTTCACTAGACACCGTCTGTTCCCTGGCTTGGTTCCTTTATATACTATCTCTGAGTGGGATCGGCTGGTATACTTGCCCTTCTCCTTCTGACTCATTTCACTCAGCTTGATTCCATCTAATTCCATCCACGTTGCAGTGAGATACTCTGTTTTTCCATTGCTGAGTAATATCTCACTATATAAATATACCACACATTGATCCACTCATTTGCTGTTGGGACACCTGGGTTGTTTCCAGATCTTGCCTGTTGGAACACTGCATGGAACACAGGAGTTTGCAGATCTTGTTGACATCCTTAGTTATCATCCTGTTGTGAAAATGCAGTGTATGTCTTTTGGTTTCAACACGGTTTCTTTAGAAGATTGTGTTGTTATCACTCCTACCAGCCAAGGGCCAATAACCCACAAACTTAAAGAACTCAGGCGTTTTGATGTTATCTCTTTGATTTATTTGCTCCTCTTCTGAAAGATGGTCACCCTTTAACGGCTGTAAAGACTAATGTTCAAGGTCTTGAAGGCTGCATTCCCACATCTATGTGGAAGGAGATAATAATTTGAGGTTAATGCTTTCTGCGGGCACGTCTGAACTGTGAAGGAGATAATAATTTGAGGTTAATGCTTTCTGCGGGCATGTCTGAACTGTGGTCAGAGGGCAGCAGGAGCCTTGCAGTTGGATTTTACATCCCAGTTACCGCAATGCCTCCGTGCGGTGCACAAACACAGGTGTGCTTCTCCTTGGGGATAAGACATCCCTTGAGGCCCTTCTGCTGATTTTTATTTATTTTTTATTTTTTTATTTTTTGCTTTTTGGGTCACAACCGGCGATGCACAGGGGTTATTCCTGGCTCATGCACTCAGGAATTACTCCTGGCGATGATCAGGGGAACATATGGGATGCTAGGAATCGAACCCGGGTCGGCTGCGTGCAAGGCAAACCCCCTACCAGCTGTGCTATCACTCCAGCCCCCTTCTGGTGATTTTTAGAGGTGGCCTCTCCCCTAGCCAGATGGGGCAGTTCCTCCCTCCAGGAACTGCAGAGCCTTCCACAGCAATTTGAAAGAACAGAACCTGCTCAGTGGGTCCAGGAGCTTTTGACCAAGATGGGTTGACAGGACACTTTGAACCCGATCTGAGGGAAGGGACAGCATTGAGGGCGTTGGCTGCTTGTCAGCGCATTCCTGGAGCTGAGATCTGACAATGCTGGTCAGCCCCAGCTCAGTTCAGGCAGGAGACATCTGAGACCAGCCCCTCTGTGAGTCTCGTCACGAAGTTGTCTGTTGGGCGATTCATCACAATACTAGGTCACCCTTTGTCTTGGAATGGGTCTGGATGTTTTCTACTCAGCTCTATACTCCAGGTGTTTTGATCAGTGTTACTCAGGCACTGGTGCTGCCCACAGAAATTCCTTGTCAGTGCATGAAAAGTCATTGCCTCGGAACACATGATACCCACGCGTGTCCATATAGCAGTATTATCATCACAATCACGATCACGATCATCCTGTTGTTTGTCGATTTCCTCGAGCAGGCACCAGTAATGTCTCCTTCCTAGCCCTGAGATTTTAAAAGAGCTATTTCAATGCTCTTTAAGGATTAGGAGAATGAGACCCATCTTTGTTACTGGTATTTGCCATATTGAATACGACACAGGAAGTTTGCCAGACTCTGCCATGCGGGCAGGATACTTTTGGTGGCCTGCCAGGTTCTCCAAAGGAAAAATAAGATAATAAGATGTCGGGAGCTGGGTTTTATAGTCTCTGTGTCTTGGCCGTTGATGGGAACAACCTGGCACTGGTGATAGCTCGTGGGTGTGACACCTACCTACTGGAAGATGGGGGGTCTGGGTGGAGAAGGCCCAGTCCCAATCCGAGTAGGCTTGGAGACCTCAGCCCCAGGCCCCGCATGCCTGGGTTCCCGCCTGGGCTCCTCTGACAGTTCTTTCATGCGTGAGGCCCGTCTGGATGTGTGGAGAGTAGTCCCAGCATGGCCGTGGCTGGCTCCAGAGGTCCTCAGACTGCTGGGGCTCTGCTCGAGGGCGGGCAGGGGAGAAACTCAACCCTTCCCCCTCCAAGGGGCCCTGGTGAGGACAGCCAAGCGCGGGGACAGGAGACTAGTACTATCATATGTTGGTAAATATTCTTATTACAGAGAATGGCTTGGAGTGATTGTACAGCAGGTAGGGGGCTTGCCTTGCACACAGCTCACTGGTTTTGAAATCCAGCATCCTATAGAGTCCCCTGAGCCCCACCAAGAGTGATCCCTGAACACAGAGCCTAGAGAAAGCTCTGAGCACAGCCAGGTGAGGCAGCAAAACAAAACAAAACCAAAACCAAAACAACAAAAAAAAAATAAGCAGGTTTTGTTTCTACTTTAATAGTTTAGAAGTGGTTCTGCAGGTATAAGGTTGGAAGTCACAGATCTAGAGAGGCACTAGAGTGAGCATGTGGGGAGGTGGTAACAGGACATAATCACTGGGGCTTTCCCTGGAGAGTCATGGGGGGAGTTTCCAGCGAGGGACGGTGGCAGTGGAAAGGGGATCCTTGTTTCCAGGGGTCCCTACAGGAGAAGCATCCAGGAGGCTGTTTTGAGTTGAAACTGAATAAGGGGAATAAACTGGTTTTTCAAGTCCTGAGGAAAAACTCAAGGGTTCTTATTTTTCCAAGCGCTTTATAGTCCACCTATATGGACATAGGGCTGGAGCGATAGCACAGCGGGTAGGGCGTTCGCCTTACAAGCGGCCAACATGGCCGACCCGAGTTCGATTCCTCCGCCCCTCTCGGAGAGCCCGGCAAGCTACCGAGAGTATTCGATATGCCAGACACAGTAACAACAAAGTCTCCAATGGAGACGTTACTGGGCCCGCTCGAGCAAATTGACGATCTACGGGAGGGCCTTTACCTTTACCTTTACCTATATGGACATTATTTTCATAAGCTCAATAGCACTGTAGTCGAGTTGTTCATCGATTTGCTTGAGCGGGCACCAGGAATGTCTCCATTGTGAGACTTGTTACTGTTTTTGGCATATCAAATATGCCACGGGAAGCTTGCCAGGCTTTGCTGTGCGAGCAGGGTACTCTCAATAGCTTGCCGGGCTCTCTGAGTGGGGCGGAGGAATACAACCTGGGTTGGCCATGTGGAAGGCAAACGCTTTACTCGCCGTGCTATCACTCTAGCCCATAAGCTCGGTATTATTTATTTATTTATTTATTTATTATTAGTGAAACACTATGAGGTACAGTTATAGACTTATTAAATTTTTGTACTTGGTTTTCAGTTATGCAAGGGGACATGAAGAAATGGAAAAATGTCCCCTGTTCATGGATCGGCAGAATTAACATTGTCAAAATGGCAATACATCCCAAAGCACGGTACATATTCAATGTGATCCCTATAAGGATATCCATGACATTCTTCAAAGAAATGGAGCAAACACTCCTGAAATTTATATGGAACAATAATCCCCCATGAATTGCAAAAGCAATTCTTGGGAAAAAGAAAATGGGAGGAATCAACCTCCCTAACTTCAAGCTCTATTACAAAGCAGTAATACTTAAAACAGCATGGTACTGGAACAAAGGCAGAGCTGTAGACCAATGGAACAGGGCTGAATATACTGACATATCCCCCTAAGCATATGATCATCGGTATCATTTAGAACAGAGTTTTATTTCTCAACTTTTGTCTATTAGATCATGATCATTTTCCTATTTCCTGTAAGTACCTCTTGAATATGTGACTTTTAATGGTTGAAAAATTGTTCTTCAGTCTAAACTGCATAATACAACCTAATCACCAAAGCAATGTTGATAAATATGTAGCTTCTTCCCAGTATATCACTTACGAGTGAAAAATCCTATTAAAATGCCTCTTGCTAAATGTTTGC